AGCAGAGCGAAGAGGAGAAAAAGAGAGAAATAGTATGGAAGCCAACATCTTATCCGTCCATTTTCACCGTTCAAAAATCTCGACCATTGGTTTTACTTTTTCATTGTTTAAATTGTAGAAAAATAAAAAGGAAAAAGTTAGTCCCATGCGATCCCCTCTCCGTCCCTTTTCCTTTCACGATTGGTTTGCTGTATAAAAACGAGTTCTTTCTCCAAGATTTATCTTCTATTTCCATGGCGATCTTTCTGCACCGCCTCTTCGCTTCTCCGTCTCATCACCCACCTCTACGGGGTGAATACCTTCTCTTTGACTTCTCGGGAAATCTTTCAAAAGCGGAGGGAGGTGTGCCGGTCAACGCGGGTTGGGACGCACATGAAGAAGCTGGAACCGTGTGAAGACAGCCCTTCCAAGTGTTGCGTCGTGAGCTTCTGCTTTCTTCTGTGTCTTCAGCTAAGCAAGAATATATAGGTGAAGCTAATTAATCAATCCACTGCCTGCCATTCTCTAGATGAAACAGGCAATAATAAACTCGCTTTAATCGATGTGTAATTAATGATTAGAACATGGGATGGGATTGAGTTGCGGGCGAACAGCAGCACATGATAGTTGCATACCTATGGAGAAGTACATCATCGTCAGTGTTGAAGTGGGATTCCTTGGAGTTTTATATTAGCTTAATCAGCACGAAGCCAAGCCATGGGGGGGGGAGGGGAAGAGGTCGATGTAAATCCATCACATCCGGACAACGGGCGTGTTGGAGTGTCCTTGTAGGGTGCGAGCCACCAGGCCATGCCGACGTCAATCTGCATGTGCATGTACTTGCCACTGTTCTTCTCACATGTATGCGTCAACAGCTGCCGGGAGCATACATAGATTACGCATACTGATGCAGCTCAAAACTGCGAGTCTTCTTGTATCAGCAGATCCATCTTCCGAAGTTGTCGTCCATCAGCTTCATCGGTCTTCTTTTTGGGTTAAAGTTTAGCTATATATCTTCGGGTATTCGTCATGGGAAGTGTTTGATCCACGGAAAAAGTAGTTTGGACGTCAGCTGGGAGCTGGACTTGGAGAAGCAGGCAAGCAGATGAGCACAAGGGCATCAACACGGGAGAACAAGAACAAGGGCATCTGACTTGGGGACAGTAGGACGTGTGAGATACGGAGCGTGAGTTGCAGATCGGATAGACGAGTGTTAAGCTTGTGCATGGAGACTGACCACAATGTGTTATGAGCAAACAAGGCATACGTATATTCCATGAACGGAGCCTTCCAAAGAGAAGGTGACAATACTTGGATGAGGACACATCTGTGATTGTCTCACTGTTAAAGCTTGTCCACATATGCCAATTCCTCCTCTCCTTTGTTTGACTCGGAACATTTTACCTTGGCACTGCTGCTATTTGTAGTACTCCGTGTGTCCTCCTGTTGCATTTGTATTACAGAGCTCCTCTAAGATTTGGGTGGCTCTTTTGGATTCTGTTCCTGTTTTATCTGTGTTGATGTCGGTCTAAGAATATTGTCCTTTAGAACACCTTACTGAAGCCACAGAACTCACTGCAGAGCTGATATTTAAATTTCTACCTCAACAAAGGACACAGGGAAACACCAAATGCCACATAATGTTGAGTCAAAAAATAAGGTGACCTACATCACCAAGTTAGATGACCTGCCACTGAACAAACTGGAGACAAAGGAGGAGGAAGTGGCTTCTCTAAAGAGTAGGAAACCCCAAAACAGAATCACTTCCTCTCAAACCTCCAAATCTTCCCTGTGCGAAGAAACACTCCATGCATGCATTCACACCAACCAATTGCCAACATGAACACACTGAAGTTTTGGCTTTACTGTTGGTTGGAAACTGAGACAAGATTTACTCATGGTGTTCATGTAGGCAATGAATAATGACATTCCAAAGTAGTTGAACAAGCAATTCTGTTGCTCGCTTGGTCAGCCTCTTTGAGTTCTATCGATTTTGTTAATCACTCTTTAAAAGTGAATATAAATACCCACCCGTATCTGTTGTTAATTTTGTCAGATTACACTTGGATCTAAAGATTAAAACATAAAAATAACTAGAGAATGAATAGGAAAAGAAACAGCCAAGGTTGCTGTTAAAGTCTTAGTTTTCCAACAAATTTTGGAGTTATTCAGCACCATTAAAAAGCTGATTTTGTAAACACCGGATTTTAGATCAACAGTTCACTATCAGCAAAAGGAGTGCCTGGACGCACGAGTCGTGAACTAGCTCTTCTGTAGCATATGGATTGGAATTTTTTGATCCTTTATGGCTACAAAAGTGCAAGCAGTTTGATCTGTAAAACATCTGCAACCGAGAGAACCTCACAAAAAGATTACAAGCAACGACAAATTCTAGCATCCAACTTCGAATGATGAGTCTTGTGTGATGGGCCTGGTGCCCTATATCCCTGCCACATTATGCAGGAAATGTCTCGGGCATAGTTTCAGCAGGGAAGTCTTGATATCCTGTAATGCCGGTTATTCTTATCCGTGTTCTTGGCTGCATGATTTTTAACATTTCATTGCCCTCAGCATACACAAACAGAGCTGATAAAAAACTTTCTAGGAAGAGTGCTGTGTTGGCCAAAGAAAAGACAAGAATGCTAATACGGGAGAACAAGGTACCTGTCGGTGACCAATGTTGCGGCGATAATTCTTTTTCTTCTTGTACTTGAAAACAATAACTTTACGATCTAACCCCTGCATGAAATCAGAGGAAAAGATCCAAACTAAGGCAGTTCATATTAAGTCTCGTTAGCAGCTGAGGAAGAAAAGTACCTGTTCTTCAACAACAGCATGTACAGCCGCATTAGTCACAACTGGCTGTCCAATATATGCCTTCGTTCGAGTTCCAACCAACAATACTTTGTTTAGAATAATCTACATAGGAATTTTAATATGGGCACACTGACCAGTTAGAAAGATAGGAAAAAGAAATTGAACAGACAAAAATCTGATACGATGGATATGTATACTTACACTATTCCAATATCAAACACTATAATGTTGTACAAAGACCAATGCTTCTATGTTATTCAAGACTTTATGAACTTGATTTCCAAAATTTAAGTATACACATCTTTTCGTTCTCTCTTTTTTTAATACTCTGCTCCTAGGCGTTCCTGTATCTTTATTTTTTTCCCACACTCTAGATCAAACAGTTGGATATGCATCCATATCAGATTCTCATGCCCACATTCAAGCAACATAGCCTTTTTAGTGAGCTCAAAGAAAATGAGCATGTCGTATGTGACTAACAATAAGATATTGTTGACATGATCAGTGATGATTGGATTCAACCATTACCTGAACTATAAACTTGGAAGATGAATGAGGATGTGGAATACTAAAATCCACAGATTCGAAGCAATCACCCCACTCCCAGCTTACAGCTTAGCAATTCACAAATGATAACTTGGAGTACTAACATGTGGATTCAACCTTCAGTATTCTTTCTTGTCAGAAATTACCTATGAGGTCATTTAAGAAGGTTTGTGTCACTGACATACAAAAATTTGCACACTCAGTAACACTACATCTTAGCTAATTTAAGGCTTAATTTCATTCGAACTCGTGAGAATCCCACTCAAACGTCGATTGTCCTCACACTCGTGAAGCATTTCCTGTGCTGTTTACCCTGTTTCCTATATTGCTTGCTTGAGGCTCTTGAATATGACCCCAAATTGGTGATCGAATCCAAAAAAGCATTGATGTTAAGAGAGGAGCAACCACGGAATACCAATCAAACAGACTAATCTCCTTAAGAGGAGAAATCAACCAATTTCAAAGAAAGCAATTATAAAACGTCCATGATTGTGACACGAAACTCATATCAAATTAGAACACAATTTGGCTGAATGAATCTTAATAAAGACCTAAACCTCTGACCTTATCATCGACATTGGCATCTTTCAACCTCTGGGTATAGATGAACCGTCCAGGAAAAACAATGTATTGCCGCGAGCCGACCTGAAAATTTTACCCAGAAAGATCAAACTTTGAAACTCAAAATAAATATATGCTAATTAAGAAATTCGTCAATAAAAGAAACCAGAACAAACAAATTCGACGATCCAGAAAATAAGAAAATTCTCCCCAAAAAACACCCCAACCTAGATGCAGTTTTCGGCTCACCATTACGACTGCGAAGACGTCTTCCCCCTTGGCAGCCTCGGTGGCGGTCGAAGCAGCTAACTGTTCCTCGACGGGCTCTGGCACCGCCGGCGGAGCCTCCTCGGGCTCCAAGGTCTCGTCGGAAGCCGCGCATAGTTTCCATTTGCGGGTTACACGAGTACAAGTAGACGGAGGACGAAGGGGTCGGAGAGGGGTCGGAGAGGAGGAGACCTCGGTGGAGGGAAGAGAGAGGGGCCGAAGCTTAGAGGAGAGAGCGGCGATTGGGGTTCGGCGGCGGAGAGAGAAGCGGGCGGCTACGGAGGACAGCGCGGTGGCGCCCAGGGTGGAAGCCATGGCCTTGCCTCGCGCTGTGGTTCGGGGATGGGTTCGGGATAACGAGATGGATAATGAAATAGGTCGGAAGACAGGAGAGTGTCATAAAGGCTAATTCTGCCCTCCATCATTGCCGATAATTTCATAAATGCCCCCTCAAAGTCATGTTTGCATTATACCCTCTAAAATTCCAAATCCTTAAATAGACATGTATTAACCTCAGAAATTTCGAGGATCAATTAGGAATTCTCATCGATTATTTTCTTTTGAAAATAATTACACAAAAAATGGTAGATGCAGAAAGTAATAATTTCATCATGTTGCGAGAATAGCCAACATGTACACACATATAAGCATTGACTTTACAAGGGAGCAAAACACACTTGCTCAGATGAAGAAGATAAGCTTCCAAGAGGCAATGATCCACAACTGTGTTGATCACAACAGGTTTGACATGCAAGGATTCAATGTGAGGACAACATCTTGGACTTTTTCCACTGTGAGGACAACATCTAACTCATCCTGCATATTTATGCTGTCTCTAAGGTGATATAATGCATGATTACTTGGGCAATCTGCCCAGAAGATCCCTTACATATGAAAGCAATTGGTACAGGAAAGAACTGATTTGATACGTTTGATACAGCTTTTTTTTTTTCTAGCAGTGAGCTTTACTTGGGGGTGATCTAACACTAAACATGACCTATGTCTTTACAGTCACAAACCAAAGATGTGATCATTTGAATTAAAGATTGATGTAGTACTAAACTGTCTAGTATTCAAGTCTCCACCATCCAAGGCAGAACTAAATCGGTCGAGCCATTGCGTTGGATTTGGGTTTTCTGTCTCCTCCACCCAATCCGAGGTCATATCAATGTCATCAAGTATGATAGGATCCATATCTGCTACCTTTCCCTTGGATCCTAGCTTGAGATTGTAGTGAACGAAGAGAAGGTCACTCAAAGTCTCCTTATCCAGCCTATTACGCTTTTCTGAGTGAATCTGCTGAATCGCGCTCCAGTTTCTCTCAAAGGTAGAAGTGCTGCAGACCTGACTGAGTATTCTTACTGCAACTCGTTGCAGTCCAGGAGCCGAATCACCATACTGCTCCCACCACATTCCTATGGCATAAAATATAGTGAAGTTAAGTTGGTGTTGCGTGAAAAACAAAAGGCTAAGCTTTTAATTACATACCAGGAGAGGTGGTATTGCGTGCTTCCCTAGCTAAGTTGGACCCAAACATCCCTTGCGCCTTTCTAAATATATAAATTTGCTCTGTGATATCGTGTCTCAATTCAGGCATCGGCAGTAGTTTGTCTAGGACGGTGAGGAATTGTTCCTTAATAATCCCAAGAAATTTAACTTCTGGATTATACTGTATGCTCGGGTTTAAATATGCTGCTGCTGCATGCAGAGGTGAGTGAAACTGGTTTTGCCACCTTCTATCGACTATGTCAAGAAAAGTCTTGCATTTCCCTTCGTCCATTATGTAGTAAGTCCTTATGGACTCCTTGGCCCTTGTCATAGATTCGTATATAGAACCAATTGCAGGTTTACCCCCAGAAACATCCCTCAATACTTTCAGAAGAGGTTCAGAAACAGCTGCAATTTCTTCAACTGCTCTCCAAAGTTCACTGTCATCGAGAATATCCATGCAAGATATACTGTGAGGTCTATTTGCATAAGGAGAAGATGAATATTCTGGACTATTGAACATATGTTTCAACCTTGATTTGTGCCTCAACATCGATTGCAAGGTGAGGAAATTTGATGTAGACCTTGTAATGCCTGAGCGAACAAGCTGCTGACCCCCAGTGAACTTTCTCATCAGATCAAGCACCCAGGTATGGTTATAGATAAATCTTGTGATAGACTGTGCTTGCAAGATACATCTATTTACCCAATCAATCTTGGAAAAGTCCTCCAGAATCAAATTCAGGCAGTGAGAAGCACAAGTGGACCAGAAGATGGTGTTGTAGTTTTGCATGATGTGATTCCCCACACTGACATAATTTAAAGAACTATCAGTTATCACTTGAACAACATTCTCTGGGCCAAAATCTTGAATGATAGAATCAAACAAATCATAGAGGCATTTAGAATTTTTGAAGTACGTAGATGCATCAACAGATTTGTGGAAGAAGGTTCCCAATGGAGATGAGACAAAAAAGTTGATTAAGGCTCTTGACTTGAGGTCTGTCCATGTATCAGCTATGATGGTACATCCACTTGTTGCCCAGTCTTTTTCGATCTCTTTTATCTGCAGCGTGACCTCTGACTTGAGCTTCTGCAACCATGTCATCCTCAAGGCTTCTGGCGACGGCCCTCTAAATCCTGCACCACCAAGTGCCTCGAGCATAAGCTGATACGAGGGAGAGTGTGCAACACTGAAATCCAACTTGTTTTCAAAAAAGAACTCAGCAATGCATCTCTCTGCATCCAGAGAAGACTGAGGCCTGATTGCCGTGCATCCAGTAAGAAGCTTCACGACAGGAGGTGTACTCTCTGGTGAGGGTATATGCACTTTTGTATTTGAAACTATTCCCGGAGATTTTGTTTCAACCAATCTTTGTTTTTTAACAACAGAAACTTCCTTCCCCTCTTCTTTCATTGATATAATAGCTTTCACCCTATCAGTAACTTCATCTCTGACTTTTGTGCATGGATGGACACCTTTCCTTGGCAAGCGAGAAAGGTGAAACTTCAATCTGCTAATGCCCCCATTCAGTACTTTGAGGCAGAACTTGCATCTAACTTTGTTTCCATCCATCTTGTCACAATATTCCCAGCAAACATCTTTCTCACGAACCACTGAGGCAGATAATTATCAGGGTCAAACTAATTTTACATCTTAGTAGCAAAGACAAAAAACAAAGCAATTCACGGATTGTTTGAACCAATAAATAGATGCAAGATCAAATAAATGACATGCAAAATATTAATCCCAAAAATGATTCAATTGCGTGTCAAATCCACAATACATAGTGGTCGCAAGTCTGCTGCAAATAATAACAATGCACCTTATCAAATTGAATGAGTACAAGCAGTAGAATTGACTAATTATACTTACTGATGAGAATGGATCGGTCATCCAACGCTCTATCTGCAGGAAAAGAAAAAGCAGAGGAAAGGATCATCGATCAAGGATTTCAAAAAGTAAATTACGTAAAACAAAGAACAGAGAATTCAGATTAAAAAAACTACACAAGTACTCATGACATAAAGAATGAAAAAGGGAACCCATAAAAGAATAAAATTAACGACATTGAAAGACAACCTCAACACAAGAAGTAAAGATTTAAAAGAATTTTACTTAATATCCACCGATTCCTTAGCTTCACAAATTTCCCTATGAACATCAGTATTTCATATTTCTCACTCGGCTTTCAAATTAGATATCAGTCTCAGGTATGACAGAGGTACATGAAAATGATACCAGATCCAAGCAACCCAGCAGCTAAGTGACAAAAAGATACTACAGAGAAATCAACCGAATGCATGAATGCCTGAATCGATCGTGAGAACAGCATGCTTCGAAAGACGTGGACATTAAAAGCTACAATATCGAGCTTCCACCAACCATGTCGAGCAACGTTTCGATAGCCGGCTGTCCAGGTGAGAAAGATTAAGCAGCCATTTACGGATGCAGCTCCACTGCTCCAGTCTCTCTCTTCACTCACTCTCTGGCCTTTATACGATACATTCCACAAAACAAGCCAATTAGCCCGTGTCACGGACAAGTGTGACTGATATCCTCGTGGGGCAGTGGATGAGGCGCATCAGAGCCGTGACCAGAAGACTATGCTCGAGCTGGGATGAACAACGAGGTGACGTGAGAAGAAAGCCGTGTACACGTGCGTCAGAAAACCAAACCCAGCCGACATTCGAGCTGACTCGAGAACGGATCGAAAAGCCAACCGCAAACTTCTCAGTTTCTTGGACTGGGATCACTATACCCCGAGCACATTTAGGTATGTATCTCCAAGATCGGCCAGTTGGTGTGTGCGAAATATACGAAGAGGAAGCGAAATATAAGAGGAGGAAGGGAGATGAGAGAGAAGAACGAGAGAGACAGAGAGAGAGAGAGAGGGACCTGAGGAGGAGAATATATCGCCTGGGGTTAATTTATCGCCACCCGCCGCCTTCGTCTCCGGGTTTCGCCTCCAATTCCCACCCAAAGGAAGCGGAAACCTATCCGATCCCACTCAATTATCGCGAGATGAGATCTCGCCGACGCGCTCTCTCCCCCCCCTTCGCTCTCTCTCTCTCTCTCTCTCTTCTTTTAGGGTTTACTGACTCGCCTCTCTCCTCGTTGCGGCCGATCGCGTTCAGTGTCCGTCTTCTTTTGTGCGTATTACTATTTTTTACACGGCGAGAACTTGGCGAGATTTACTGCCACGTGGATGGATGATCCGTCCCTGATGTCTCCCCACGCCCTCCTCGTTATTGACACTGTACACCTGCCCGTCTTCTCTACCACGTCATAAGGGGCCCACTTTTGCCTTCATTTACGAACGAGGTGGTGATTGGTTAGAGATATAAATCGGTTGGAATTGGTGTTCAATTGACGATGAGTGAGCGACAGACGATTAATTGGCGATCTGATCCTCACTTGAGCTTTTGGGCCTCCCTGTGGGCGGCCGATAGTGATAGGGCCCGGTTTATCTATTGATCCGCATCCGATTCCATGATCGGGTCGGATCAAGCTAGAGATTGATGAGGAAATGAACTCAGCAATCCCAATCAGATTAGAAACGACAATCTCTATTCAATTCTCCTGTACCTGATTAGCTCGGTAATGCTTCCTGAAAACAATGCAGTGATCCAACAGTCCATCACACGGATGGCAGGCACTTCGACACCTTCCGCATGCTCGGGGTTCATGTAGCATCGATGTATCAAAAGACGAGAGTCATTGTCGCTGTATCAATGCATCTGTCTGCATCTCCCTCACATCACACCAAACAACTATCCACACTCGTCTTTCGACAGAGGAACAGATTCTCGAAATCCTGAATGCTGTGCGCTGAAGGTTGTCTACGGCGTCGTCTCAGGAGCAGGTGTTGCTCGGAGAGAGAGAGAGTAAAGTAAAGTAACCCTTCTATTCCCAGTGGATGATGCAGTCTGTCTGGAATGAACTGGTCTTTCTTTCTTCTTCCGCTTCCATTCACGCAAGGCAACGAAGAACTGCAGGGGATGCAACTAAAATTTGGATCTTGAGCTTTTGGTCTCGATTATTGTGTCCTCGTTCGATGCAATCCGCCGAACGGATGTGTCCGAGCAATTATAGAGCCGAGTGAACCAGCGGCATCAATTATATGCTTCACAGTATAAGAAAAGCAGTGAGATCGCTGTCTAACAGTGACTGGTCCAGCGTCGATGCTGTGCGTGTCGTCGTCTGATAGGAAAATACTAGATTTCACGGTTCAATCATTCGCATAATGTGAAGAGGCGTAAAAGTACTCAGTATTTCTTATATTTATATTTAAATTTATGATTTTTAGTGTACTATTATCAGATATCTCTACTTAATTTTTAGACAAATATTATATGATAATTTAGATGACTTCAGCCGACGATGACGGTTCGATTTGAATCAGAATCAACGAGGTCATCATGCTCTCTCTCTCTCTCTCTCTCTCGAGTGGTAAGAAAAGCTTGATGGGCGGCAGAAGAGACGGCAATCACTTCCACGGCCAAACAAAACAGTCCACCGGAGCCACAGCAAAGCCACCCCCAACCACCACTCTCGTAGACCCCTCTCCGACAGCTCATCGTCGTCAAGATTTCTCCTGCCTCTGCACGACTGGGCCCACGGGCACACCATGAGTCCTTGGGTGACGGTGGGTCCCGCCGGGCTAGTTTATTCTCTCGGTGTCATTACTTGAAAATCTAATATAATTTCCATTTATGTTTTGTTCAATTAAAATTAAGTATTGATTTTTCGTCGATTTATAATAACATTATTATCATGTTTGTTCATTATTTAATGATTTATTACTCTTTTTCTTGTCAGAAAGATACGTAAGAATATATATATCTACGTTTATCACGCAAGGGTAGATGAAGAGTACGGCTGCGATATACCCAAGTAGAGGTGCACCCGTGGTGGTCCCGACCTTCGAAATCGTGGTAAACTTTTATGCGAAGAATCGACACTCCCCCCTCCCTGTTTACCGCCCTCAAACATATAGATAAAATGATCGAAGAGCTCGGTGGCTTCGATGCTCTGCAGGTGCTCCTCGAGCTCGGCAATGGCGGATCTCCAGACAAATTTCGCAAGGTTTCTTTCTCCCTTCTTCCTTTCTCTTCTCCTTCTTCTTTGTCACTCTTCACTTCATGAATGAAGATGTTCGACGGCAACGCCTGCTCCCCGGCTCTCTGTCTTCCTCGGTGCTTGCAGTTCGGTGAGTAAATGATTGCGTTCAGTGGCGTCCGAGGTGGGAGGGGAGCGATTTGGATGCCCTTCGTTTAAGCAAAATCCGGAGATAGCACTTGTTGCTTTCATCACCGAGGCGTCTTTTCTTTCTTTTGACGGCTACGTGCTTCCCCTTGTCTCCCGTCTTCTATTCTAAGATCTCCCATTTCGGTCCCCGGCTCGGTTTGTTTGCGTGCGGCGGTCTCAGAGGAAAAGAGGAAACTTTGAAGTGATCGTCACTTGTTTGACTCAGAAGATGGTGTTGCAGAGTTAGAGATCGCTTCTCCTTTTGAACTGGTTCGTGAATTTTAATCCGAGTGTTGGAAGAGCAAAATGCCAAAAAGTTGAGATTTTTATTGTGCTTTCGTGGGATTTCGGAATCTACGGCAAGAAATGAGTCCCAGATTAGTGTTCATGGCTGCTTCTGCACTCTGGTTAGCGATGTCCTGTCTCGGAGTGGGCGCTGGCAGACTGGCGGAGGACAAGCAGGCATTGATAGATTTCCTCGCCGCCATCCCCCTCACACGCGGCCTCAATTGGAGTCCGTCCACTGCCGTCTGCGGCCGCTGGACCGGCGTCACCTGTAGCATCGACGGCTCCCGCGTCGTCGCCGTCCGCCTCCCGGAGATCGGATTCGGCGGCCCGATCCCGCCCAACACCCTCAGCCGCCTCTCGGCCCTCCAGATCCTGAGCCTCAACTCTAACAACCTCACGGGTCCCTTTCCCGCAGATTTCGCCAACCTCACCGCCCTCACCGGCCTCCATCTCCAGCTCAACAGCTTCTCCGGCCCCCTGCCGTCGGATTTCTCGCCGTGGAAGAGTCTCACGTCTCTCGATCTCTCCTTCAATGACTTCAACGGGGAAATCCCAGCTTCCATCTCCGGCTTAACTCAGCTCACCGCGCTGAACCTCTCTAGCAACTCGTTCTCCGGCCAAATTCCAGATCTTGAGCTCCCAAACCTCCGATTTCTTGATCTCTCCGATAACAATCTTAATGGCCCGATTCCCAAATCCCTCCGTGGTTTTCCAAATTCATCATTTTCTGGTAATGCTTTGTCATCAACTCCATCTCCGCTGCCGCCTTCTCCTCCGCTGTTTCCAAGCTCTATAACCACGAGGAAGATGAGTGAATCCACCATCCTAGGAATCATAGTCGGCGGATGTGCTTTGTTATTCGCCATGCTTGCGCTATTTCTCTTCCTTTGCTGCTCCAGGAAAGACGAGATTTTTGTCTCTGGTAAGGGGAGGAGAAGGGACCGGTCACCAGAGAAAGCTGTCGCTGGAAGTCAGGATGCGAACAACCGGCTCGTCTTCTTCGAGGGCTGCACGTTTGCATTTGATTTAGAGGATCTGCTGAGGGCTTCTGCAGAGGTTTTAGGGAAGGGAACGTTTGGGACTGCATACAAAGCTGTGCTGGAGGACGCGACGACGGTGGTGGTGAAGCGGCTGAAGGAGGTCGGCGTGGGGAAGAGAGAGTTCGAGCAGCAGATGGAGATGGTGGGCATGGTAAAGCATGAGAACGTGGTGGAGCTGAGGGCGTATTACTACTCCAAAGACGAAAAGCTCGTGGTGTATGACCATTACAGCCGGGGGAGTGTCTCTTCCTTGCTGCATGGTACGGTATCTCTTCACTTTCAATTCTGTTCTCGTTGATGAGCTACTAATGATTCACCACACTGTCTTTTCAATCAACAGTTGATTACCCTAATATGTGGTAATATCTACCCCATAATTTGCAGGGAAGAGAGGGCAGGAGAGGACACCTCTGGACTGGGAAACCAGGCTCAAGATAGCGCTCGGAGCTGCAAGAGGGGTCGCACACATTCACGTGGAGAACAATGGAAAGCTCGTCCATGGCAACATCAAATCGTCCAATGTCTTCCTCAACGACCAGCACTACGGCTGCGTCTCCGACCTGGGCTTGCCATCCCTCATCAACCCGATGCTCCCACGCCTGTCCCGCACCGCAGGTTACCGTGCACCCGAGGTTGTCGACACAAGGAAAGCGTCACAACCTTCCGACGTCTACAGTTTTGGCGTTCTCATCCTCGAGCTGCTCACCGGGAAGTCCCCCATTCAGATAACGGGCGGCGGCGGTGGTGGTGATGAGGTGGTCCATTTGGTCCGCTGGGTTCACTCTGTTCTCCGCGAGGAATGGACTGCAGAGGTGTTCGACGTGGAGCTGCTGAGGTATCCCAACATCGAGGAGGAGATGGTGGAGATGCTTCAGATCGCCATGAATTGCGTGGCGAGGAAACCGGAGCGGAGGCCGAAGATACCAGAGGTGGTTGGAATGATCGAAGGGGTGAGAAGATTCGATAGCGGGAATCGGTCTTCCACAGAAGCCATATCAGAGAGTTCGACACCAACACCAGCACAGGATGCAGAAGCCCAAACAACTCCACAGCGAGGCTAAGCGTGTTGACGCTTTCGTGAATGCTTCTTATTAGTGTGATTCTCCATCGTAGGATATAACTTTCGTTCAGATTCTTTGGCTTCTGCAGAAGATGTATCTGTAGGTCTATCATTGAGGGGCAGAACACCACTACCCTGTGAATGTGTTGTTTCCTGAGCTATTCCGTCTAATTTGATTTAATGGCTTGTGCATTACTTGATATGCTTGGCTATATCCCTAATGCTCATATTATATTTACTACGTGCATGGTTAATCCATGGGATTAAACTGGAAAAGATCCATGCAGCTGCACCCATGGCTTCTTTTGGTTAGATGCTAACGAGATGGTTCAAGTTAAGCACGAGAAGAACACCGACCGGTTTACCTCGTTGTGAGCTTGACAGTGGATCCTTGTGGCCATAATGGTTAGATGTGGACCGGTAAATTTGTCTCGATTTGACTTGCTACGTACCATACTGGCATCGATTTCATCAGGTTCATTTATTGGTATTTAAGACATGTTCCATCGGCAAGCAACAGCATGCGTCCTTCAGACATGTTTCTAAGCTTACCTGTGACCCGCAAGGACGCCTCCAGAGAAGTAGCAGCTTTGCCAGACTCCTGGCTCTTTATCACGTATCAGTGATTAATGGGGAGGCGACACAGTAATTGCTTACGAGCCTTCGGCCATGATTGGCGCTGGGCATTTTGGCTTCGCTTGACTTCTGCCCCATCCTGGTCGCCACGACAATGTTACTTCACTCAGACCACTGGTCTTTGGGCTTCGAGGCTCTTAATTCCTTCTCCAGAAACATTAAAATCGTAGGGCGGCAGAATAATGTGGCGAGGTCTCCACTCTTTTGCATGCATGCCTTCTTTCGTTTGTCTCTTCTCACCGGATGTGATGTAGCTCAAACTGTTAGCATCGTTTCCCATATAGCAGCCTTCTTCCTCTTTTTGTGCTCTTAAAAGAACACCGGTGCTTTATGCTGTGTAGCCTTCTTCCCGAATGCATGGATCACCAAATGGTTACTGCTAGTCATCATGCATCGTGACTTAGAGCCATCGAAGGGCGCTGACCTTTGGAAACTACATTGTTCCATGCACCACTTGGAATTCTTTTCCTCGATCAACAGATTCAACACGAGAGAGAGAGATCCGACTTCTCATCGGCCGTGGAATTATTTAGAGCTGATAACATAACCGGCCACAGGAGAGCAACTCCGCTGAGCTCTCAACGAGTAGTCAACGCTCGAGCACGTCTGTATACACCTAGAAATAAGTCTCCACATGTCGGCCACCATGGAAATAAGTCTTCCCCTCCGAGTTAAAGTGCAATCATTGCACTATTATAACTTACATGATGGCCGGAGAAGGAGCTGTGCGTTTTACCCATTCACTACCACCATCGCGCACGTTAATAGTAAAGCTACTAATTGCTAGTTTCTGTCTGCAGTCAATTTAGATTTGTCAGTTGACTTTAAACTACAACAAACGGGATGTACGTATAGGATCTAATCATAGTCGTACCACTTTGCTGCTGCACAAGCCGAACAATATGCTCGCAAGACGAGTGGAGAAAATTAATGGGTAATTAGAATATGTTCGAATTGAAACAGCATATGCAGAAAACAGCAGTCATTATGTCGCTGTTTTCCTTTTCATTTGTTCTTTTGCGTTCTTGAGCCTATCCTACTTGCAGTTGGTATATGCCATTACAACTTCGTCAAGGAATCAATTCAATGCTTGGAAATGCTGACAAAAAGAGATTTTGTGTATCAGATGTAAACCTTATAGTTTATACAAAGACTCTCATGGCACCAAGTCACACAGTGTGTGCATTTATGTGCCATCCTGAGCGCATACTGCGAGATGTACAGGTGCAGAGGCCATGCAGTAATGTGGTCTGAGATTCTAAGACGAAGCCATGCTTAAAATAAGAGGACTCATGTCCTCCTCCATCGAACCCCTTAATGTATTGTAGCCAAGCCAGATTCTCCGAGAGGACTCGTTGAGCATCTGATTGCTTTTAATACGCATCGAGAGTATTTGTAGCTCACATGCCTTCGATAATGTGATGCTTGAACTCGAGTCCACTTAATATTTTTAGGGTTCGTGCACACGAGTGGACGACCTAAACCCCCAAAACCAGGCCTCGCTTCCTATGTATGCTTGGAGCTTTAGCTTTTGTCTCGTGTCGAAGACAAGGAATAAAGCCGCAAAGCTGCGACGACTCTCCTCCTCCATTGGAGGATCTCAGAGGAAGATGGTGGTTTGGCCGTGGATCGACTGTTTGCGTTCATGCTCTTGCTTCTGGGAACTGTCACCTGGAAAACTCTAATGTTCGAACTCCCAAGTGGAGAGTTAGTGTGTGGCACGTCCGCTTGTTCTTCCATGGCTCATTTATGAGTGATCGGGCGTGGCAGGTGTGGAACAGCCTTCGATGGAGCTAAAACAATACATGAATGCATCTTTCTCAAAGGATTCCACATGTCTCAGATTTCTTTTCATTTATTTAAATTGATGGACCATGCGGGATCACTAAAATGTAGACATCGCATCTTAGAACTTGCATTGATTCGACTCATAATTTACTATTGGGCGAGATTTGGCAAACTGAACTCAGCGCTGCTTGACTTGATCAGATCTTGGATACGATCACGACCGTCCATGAGCTCGCGGGAGTCGCCAGAGTCGTCTTAAAGCTCTCACGTGTCACCGTCAGTCAGCCGCACCTACCGACGCTCTCACCGGTGGGTGGGCCACTTTATCGACCCGTTGAAGTAAGCCACGTCGGACGGGGATGGTTGCGCTCGAAAGCGGAATGGGGACAGAATCCTGCGGCTCTATCGGGAAACAGGCCGCATGCGGGCGGGCGGGGATGGGGAACGCCGCCGAGAGTTCGACACGGGTCACCTGCTGCCACTGCGATAGTGCGCAGTGGGTGAGCCGGCCGGGAACACCGGGTCGGCCCCCTCGGCTCCTGCGACAGCCTCTCCGTTTCCTTCCTGGCCTTCGCCTGGCTCTATAAACCTCTCCTCATTTTTGATCGCCGAAAAGGGAAGGAAAGAAAATAATAATAATACTAAGCTGCTTATTTTGTCTCACTGATCTGCTCAAGTTGATATCTTCGGTTCATTGACGATGGAGAGACGACATCAAATGATGTTCTTTTCTGGAGATGGCTTTATTTCTCACCAGCATTGCTTTTCTCAACAAAGGCAAGCCAATAAAGCGGTTTGATTCGTGTATTGTTATTGCTCATACGATGGGCATTAGATCAAATAGACAAATACAGAGATCTTTTTCTTGCTCGAGATCATTAATCACCGTCTGCTATTCAGCAAAGAATATATAACAGCATTAATTGCACTTGTCATTATTTAACTGCTAAAAGAGATTCGTTCTCAAATTCTAAAGCTAAGATCAGACCTACAGTAGCAGCAGCAGCAGTACGTAGTGCTACCATTACATGAAACCCTGATGGAGAATGATGATGCTTCCATTAGACCTAGACCGCATTAAAATTATGCTATCATGCTTTCAGGGGAGACTCAGGTCGTTTGGAGCTGCTCGCGCATAACTCTACGCTTTACTTGGTGATATCATAGTGACTGGGTGATGCATACTTGATGTACATATCATCCACTTAGTTTCAGTAGGTGAAACCTTACTCATAAGAATTCATGCAGCTCGAGTAAACAAATGCCTTGTGTTGCTGGTGTCTTGTGGTCTATTAAGTTGTAGAATAACCTTATGATTGGTGTCATACCGATATCTTTTCCTTGGAAAAGATTAATTTCATCGTTTTTCTTTGGTATAAAGATCACAAGGGTTGGACCATTGTCACACTCAAAAAAGTGGGATTCAAGATCCTGGAAAGACAAAGCATGCATGCATGATGTCTTTTGACAGTAATTATAATAATCACCATTAAAAGGCAATATAATTAAGAGAAGAAAGCTAGATGGGGATTTGGATTGGTACGACGGGTGAGGAAGAACATCTAGGAGTTGGATGCTGCATTGACTTATCCTTAATGGGACATGTTGGGAGCTGCGAGGAAAAGGATTAATTAAAATAAAAATAGCAGGAGCAATAAAAGATCGGAGGAGCCATCCACAAAACACGGCCACTGTGAATCGTGTTGGACCAATTAATACCCACCCTTTCTTGTCCAACTCGGTGATCTCTTTCCTAACATGTCGATTGTGCGCGGTGTTGTCCTCCCACCATTTCCTTTTGTTCATTGCTCATCGGCACATATGCACCCCCCCTTCGTCTCTTTCTTTGCTGCTTCCACCCTGGGATTGATTCATGCAGTTACGGCCACATAACCTTCCCGTGGACACACCTCTCCATGAGTTGGAATCTCGAGTAAGAGCATTTTCTTATGTATGTTTCGTGGATGGATTGCACCTCCGAAATGCAAAGGTTGTATCACGTCACATCTTTAGTGAATGCTTTTTAGATGTACACTTCACATTTTCTTTCTCGCCCAAAGCGTTTTGGAAACCTCTCGTATGATTGCGACTGGGTTTTAGGTAATTAGGGTGCATCGATGCCTTTTCCACCGGCCTTCTTGCGAAGGCATAACGAAGTGAAAGTGCTTCTCCCTCGTATAGAGTTGGATATTCCGATCTACGAACAAGCATGAGAAGCGATAAGAATGGACTCTTAGTAGGTTAGCAACGACATTGTTTTTGCGGTGAATACGTCAAAACAAAAAAGAAAGTGTATTGATGAAAGAAAGGGATTCGGGTGTTATGCACACGTCGATGAGATGATCATGAGGGGGAGTAACGAGGAAGAACACACAAAGCTTACCGTGGTAATGATAATACGTGACACGACGCAGCTGTAAAAGATAAAAAACAATGTCTCGGGTTAAGAGCGTGGCAGTAGTGACAGGCGTTGTATGCTTTGTCCTACAGTGATTTCTTGCCCCTAACTATTTTGGCTTCCTCTTCCTTCACATGGATGATGATGATCCTTGAGATTCCAACTCGTCTGATGTGAGTTGGCCGCTTGTTCCATAAGGATAATTACGATTAAATGGTATCTAATTGCGTCGGCTAATTATTTTCTTCGGAGCCAAGTAAGTAAATCTTGAAAAAGGAAGGGAGGAAGGACTTAAGACTCGTGATTGGGTCAAAGGTTGACCGCGAGAATTCGATTCGATGTCGTGGTGGGGTCCGTCCGAGTCAGCATTTTGGGCGGGTACCCCTGCTGCTGGTTTGAAACCTGGCAGCTGTCATCTCGAAGGATGCGGCGGTCCGCGGATGGGGACCGGCTCACCGGGAACAGCCGGTGAGCGATAAAAAATCATGGAATATGATGTTATTTTTGGGGTGCGAGATTTTCCATCGGCTTCCTATAAGAGAGTGCTGCGACTTCCGCTGCTCACTCTCCCATCATCGCAGCGCAATATGCTTTGAAGCCGAAGTTTCTCCGCTTCTACTGTTCCTTCTGCCGTTTCTTGCTCTCTTGTCCGTTATCTTCCTTCTTGCACCATCCTCTGGGGCTGTTGGTGGTAGTGCTCTGCAGTCGAGGGCCGAGGTGCCAAAACTAGAAGGCTGCCTGTCCTTGCTCTTGCGCGTCTGGGATTCAACGACTCCGTGCTCGCTTGGTGGTGTTTCGCTTTGTGAGTTACACTCTCTCCTTTCATCGAGGTCTCTCTTTCTCTTTTCGATCCCTGTTTTCCTCTTGTCCTCGGATTAGTAGAATCCATGAAGATTTGAGGGTGTGTTGGTGCTGTCACGGTTTTAGTGGATATTCCATTCATTTGTCGGTAAAAGCATCAGCTTTTACTCTCTCTAAGTTGATCGTGGGTGTGGGATAGGGAGGGATGTCTTGCTTTTGGGGTGTGACAATTATGTCTTTGCCTGCAGTTCTTCTTGCAGCGTTTGGAATGGCAAAGATTAGATTTTTATGGTTGGCTTGGCTCGTTGTCGTTGTGTTGGATGCAGGGGAATGCAAATCCTGTAGAGGAGAGTCGTGAAGTGAACTTGATGGATGCTGCGTTTCTGGTGCCGATGAAGCGGACGGAGCACGTCGTCGTGACGCCCAAGCCGCCCCTTGCGTCGCGACCGAAGCGCCGCCCCGGCGACGTGCCCGCCGCGGCGCCACGGCCGCGTACAGTACGTATCTTCTGCGACGACTACGACGCCACCGACTCCTCCGGAGACGAGGACGAGTGCTGCCACTCCCGCCTCCGCGTCCGTCGGTACGTCCAGGAGATCCGGTTCGATGCCCGCCCTGCCCGTGTCGGGGCCACGCCCGCCGCGGAGGCCGGGAAGAAGCGGAAGGCTGGTGCCGCTGCGGCTGCCTGCGGCGATGGGAGCGTACAGACATTCCGCGGCGTCCGCCGGCGGCCGTGGGGGAAGTATGCCGCCGAGATCCGGGACCCTTGGCGGCGCGTACGGGTGTGGCTAGGCACGTACGACACCGCTGAGGAGGCCGCTAAGGTCTACGACTCCGCCGCCATCCAACTCCGCGGCCCCGACGCCACCACCAACTTCGCCCGCCCCCCGGCCGGCGCCGCCACCACGACCCATCCCTCTCCTCCTCCGCCGGCCAAGAAGAACCTATCGGAGAACTACCTCACCTCCGTATCGGGCGGGTACGAATCCGCCGAGGAGTCGCACAACCTCTACTCCCCGACCTCCGTCCTCCGCGGCTTCTCCTCGTCCTCGTCCTGTTCCACCTCCGCGGCCAAGGCCAACGACACAGAGGAGAAGCCGAAACCGCCGGCGACGGGCATTGCGTCCAGCTCACCGGTGGAGCCTGGCGGGTTCCTGCAGTTCGAGGAGGAGACGCTCTTCGATGGCTTGCTCAGCTTCTTCGACGACGAGTCGGCGCCGGTCGGCGTCCTTGCCGAGGACTTGAGCGCCGCCTTCATCCACGACTCGGGACTCGACCTCCTCGAGCCGTCGTCGACGTGGCCAGCGGGAGACGATTTTTTCGCAGACATCGGCGACTTGTTCCCGATCGAGCCCCTTCCCGCCGCAAACTAAGCCTTCTTCGAGCTCGCGAATCGCGCCGAGATTAGTCGGTCGATTTTTCTCTTCGGGAGCCCCAAAAAAATGGGGGGCTTCAGTTTCCTTTTTCTTTTTATTTTCCTTCTATTTATTCCTCTTTATTTTCCCTATTCGTAGTGGCTTTCTTAAAATCACTCCGTCTCTTAAGTGGATGATGTAACGCAGTCACTAGAAAATTGCTAATAACAACAATTAATATGAGGCTTATGGTATTATCCGATACCTGCTTTTTGCGTGATATATATATATATATATAGAGTGTGTGCGTGGAGACTTGTTATTGGCCGAACTTGAAGCGTGATGCGTGATAGTGTAATTGCTGTATACTTTGGGATGGCAACACCGAACACGTGGCCGTGTCGCCTGCGATGTGTCGCAGGAGTCGGTCCCACGTGGGGCCCTTTGTTGGGATAAAAGGATTTTGGCAGATATCAGAAATTATATTGCGTAATTGTCTCTACTTGTTAATCAATTAGAGAGGACACCAAAGTCGAATTTGAAATGGAGTTGGAGAGTTGGGAGAGAGAGATGTGTATGAATCGAGTTTGGGTGGATTACGAGTAGAAAATAGATATCTAACATAGATGATTATAGAAGCAAATCTTTCTGTCACCGAGTTTTTTTGGGGATTTACTCTCTAGGCTGTGTATTTTTGGGGCAATGAACATGATCATACGTTTCTATCAGTCAAGTGAGAAGACAACCGGAACTCGCTATCAAATCCATATTTGGAGTCTTGTGATAATTGTGGCGTCCTAACTTTTGACTACTACTTGGAATGATTGAGAGGTCCAGAAATGTGGCACTTTCTATACGTTCATGGTGCTGAAAGATGACCTTGACGTCGAACAACCATTGAAGGTGAAGGTGAAGCATCTGTTCTTACCGCAGCACACCCATCAGCTCATTTAACTAAGATCTGCGGAGCATCAACAGAAACCGGAGGATGTCGGCCTTCTCCGAATAGCTGTGTTTAGTTCGACAGATATGTCAGAGACCGTGTTTTGATGTGTAAACCGTGAGAGTATACCGCTGCATCATGCGACTGTCATCCTTCTTCCGTCGATAAAATGGTCAGGGATGAGAAGACCATTGTTCTTCGTGGTTTGGACTCCGAATCTGAATCATTGGAGTAAGTTGAGTGGCACGAGAGATGTCGGTGTGTAGGACGAATGATTGTGAATGCTGCAGCTGCTAAATGATGTGATCATATGCACCTCTCGAGAACTCCTCCGGCAGAGTCATTACGGTACTCGCCAGCTCGGTGGTTGTGTTCCCAACAGTCCAAGGCTGTCTCGTCTCGTCTCTTTAACCATGCAAATGCTTGAAGATTGAAAAGTTACAACAACGTTGGCATGTTCTTGAAACCTCATGAAGCAATGTAATGCTGATGCCCAAAACTATGGGCATCAGAGACGATTAATGATGGAAACATTTGCATTTGTGTGGGGGTGGGTAAGCTGTGAGCTCCGAGTAAAAGAATCAAGCGAGACACCAAGAAAAGATGCTATCAGAGACGGAAGTGAGTTCTATATACACCCCAAAGGTGATGGTTGTCTCATTGCACCAACTGCTGATTCTTTTCTAGTTTGCAGCTGCCAATTGTAAAACAAAACAAGATGTATAATAGTTGTTTAGCCAATATATTTACTGTCTGCAGATGATGATTATGGTAGTGAAGTAGGGACAAAAGACATTCCTTTTCGGTTCCAGGAAGTCTGATGCTTCGCCTAAGAGTCCAAAAGATGTATAAGAACATTACCAAACTTGTAGCGATATGAGGACAAGAACAGACTAGGGATTAAAGAAAAGGAGCATATTCCGATCCATGGAAAAGTTCATGTTGGTCTTGTTTTCCTGTTTGGACTGTTGTTGGTCATCGAGCTAAAGGAATCTGATGGAACTAATTTGGCCTTACCCAAGTCGTTGGAACTCAATAATGTGGAGTTCAACATCACTTGATTTAATGGCTTAAAGCCTAAAACTTGGGTGAAAGAGAAGGATGAAGGAGTGGCGTTGTAAGGTTAATTACAACTGCTCTATATGTATGTATATATATGTAGCAGCCTCCCTCTCTCTCTTTGTGTATGTATGTATGTATAGTTTACGAGCCACTATAAATGCATCGTATATAACTTTTCCTTCGGCTGCATGCAGAAGAAAGGTTGAGCTTATCAAAGAGTGCACAGAGAGTATCAATATGACATCTTTGTTCCTTATGATCATATCGAGAAGTAGGGTCCCATTAAAGTGATTTAGATGACTCTCCATGGCTGGCTTGCGATCTATACATCCACAAGAACAAATCACTTAAACCTTTGAAAGAAAACTGATGAGCTGAAAGATCTAAATTAGAGTCGTAGTTTAGCGCCAAGTAATCAGAAATGTATCAGTCCACAACTCCCTTAGCTCATACTAATAAGAAAGCTTGTTGATAAGCAGTCAGAACAGTGTTCGAGTACAACCTAACTAGATTTACAACCATGTACATGACCATCTTACAAGATTAAAGTAACAAAAAAGAATAAGAAAAACTTGACAAAGAAGTAAAAACACACAATATTTCCTACTAATTTCAGTATTTATAGGGATCAACCTGCAAACCCTAACCTCTAGCTGACACAACCTCAAGTCGCTCCAATTGGCTGCTATGAGAAGAAGCACTGGCCGACCAAGAAAATCTTCCTCCATTTCTCTTCTTGTAGAATGTCTGATGTTGTGATCGAGCAGTTCCACCACTACAAGCAACTTGATTGAGTTGCATGAGAGCAAGCATGCTTATGGCAAAAACAGCAGCATTCCTTAAAACACCATGGATCCTCACCAATCTGAATGAGTTTTTCGCTGCAGCAAAGCCTGCTATGAACATCTGTATTAACATGCTAGAGCTCCTTCCCTCGTGGCCTTCCAAATTCTTACCAGACTGACTCCTTGTTATCTTGTTCTCAGAGAGGGTCTCTGGTGTGACAGAACGGCCCATGTCATGCACATTACCAACAAACGATAAAGCTTTGTCAATTACCCTGTACTTCTTTCCCCGATAATCAGCCAATCTCATGGCAAGAATGATATGACTTTGCTCCAACCGTGCTATAGCAGAATCTCGTTCGGCTTGCTGTTGTGATTGTACAGTCTGTAGAGTCAATTTGCACGTTAAGTAAATCGTAGCACATATCTATCGTGCAAAGTCAAGCAAAAATGCTAGCCTGGAAAACAATCATTCAATATTAGTCTATATATATATATATATATATATAACACATATCCGTTTGATTTTTCTGCAAAGTAGACCAAGAGGCTTCATGAATGATCAGTAGAATTTAAAAAATCACCATCAACCTAAACTTAATCATCTAACCCAACACAGAACTGAAAACAAGCATTAACAAAAGAAATGTTATCTTAAAAGCACAAGGCAATTTCACAAGTAGAAAACTGTTAGTTTGCTGCTGGTTAAGATCATGCAACCAACAAGAAACAGAACTTTTTCTAGTATGTAATAAGTCAAGCGCAGGAAGCATTCTACAACACACAAAGAGTGGTTGTCAAAAAAAAAAACAACAATCACAAACACAATTATGATTCATTATTGGTATTAAGATCAAATTACGTATGGACGAAGCTAAGCAAACACAACTCTTAAAAAGTGCTGCACATTCTAAAGCCAACAACTATATCAAGTAAAGTATGAGTAAACCCGAGCCAGGGCTTAATTTCATTTGTCATCTTCTGCCAAAACTGCAATGCCTGATTAACAACTAGCCAGCCCACCAAAATGTCATATAACAGCATCATGCCACAATTGCCTTAATCTGGGAACTTTAATTGATATTTTCCTACATGTTACCTATAATTTTCATACTATTGACTTATGTTGAAGAATTGCCCAAGTATTAAGCAATCTGAGTCCCTCTACAGAGGATAATCAATGGGATAAAAACACAACTTTTTTAGAAATTAATTGAACTTAACACTATATAATCCATACAGGGAGGCAATTGCAATGCCTTGAGACCAGCCTAGCAAAAGTCTCCTTGAACTCTCCTTTCCAGGAAAAAGGATACTATATAATTTACATAATTTACGTAAAAGGAACTCATCAAATAGATCGATGAACATCATATGTTGAAATAGAAGAAGAGACCACTGAAGTTGTAAATACAAATTCTAGCAACGGTAGAAACCTGATGAATGGAATGAATTCAAAGCCAAGAGTAAATTTTTTATGAGCATAAATTATTACATTCTACAATCCATTATATATATATATATATATATATATATATATATATATATATATATATATATATATAT